CTTAGGGTGCTGGGTGGTGCATTCAGCCAGGAAGGCAGCACACGACAAGAACCTTCTTTCAGGAACCTGTGTGCCCACACAGGAGCCAGGGAGCTGCTAGGAAAGCCCAAAAGACTTCATCATAGATGGTGATGCCATGTCACCTACCTGCAAGAAGCATGTCACCAAGGATCTGAGCAGCCGGATGACACGGGGACATTTTGTGCAGAGTGATGGGGCGATCGTGGGCTGAGAGGTAGCAAAGGAAGCAGTCAAACAAAAGACAGTGAAAGCCTGTTTTCAAACAGTGGGGAAAGCAAATGCAAAGGCCCTGTGGTAGAAGTGCGTGGTGTGACCAAGCAGAACCAAAACCACTGAGCCAGCAGAGAAACTAGGAGACAGAGACCGGAGCCTGTCCAAGCTAGGGGGCTTGACTGCTGTGATTTGCATGTCATGCTAAGAGTAAGGGATAGATTTGGGACAATTCTTATTTTGAAATATTTCAGCCAATCAATTGGCTCTGTGGGGCTTTCCAGAGCTAATAAGGTAGCACCCAAAAACCCTCTAGCCCCCACCCCAGTGCTACTGGCCTGCAATTTAGGGCATAATTTTTGCATTTCCTCCTAATGCAGGGCCACAGCACCGCTCTGCTGGGTGTGGCCGGGCTGTGACCCGCCCAGCAGGCCCAGCCCACTGGGTGCGTCCTACAGCTCACTTTCCCATGCCTGCCGTGCTTGTGCCCACGTCACTGTCACTGCTGCGTAGTCTTCTGCTGGGTGATACGGTTATAGCCCCTGTGAGTCCCTCATGTTGAGCATTCCCAAGATCAACCCAACCCAATCAACTGCTGATATATTCCCTTAAAAAGCTGGATTCTGCCTGCTGGTATTTTGTTGAGGACTTTTGTTTCCGGTCTGGCAGGTCAGATCCCCGGTGCTGTTGTGCTTCTGGCTGGTCCTCCGTCCTTTAGCTATCAAGCCTGCATATTCCTCAGCCAGGGACCATGCAGTGTTTCTACCTTCCCTGCGACAGAGCTGCGGAGGGGGATAGACAGCCAGACTCAACTTTCCCTTTGGCTGCCCACATGCGGTTTTGGCCCCATGTGTGCCACCTCTCATGACCCCACTTACCCAGCTCCCTTTCTTTCTGGAGCCCCCAAACCCACTGGCCTCCCCAGTGAATACTTCATGAAGCTAAAGTGCTCACAGCTTTCTTAGAACCCAGCCTCTCTGATTTTACAGGTGGATCCTCGACTCGGGGTTTTAGCATTCAGAGCCACGTGTGGGTCTGCTGGGAGCTGCCCCAGGTGACCACAGGTGGGTTCCTCTCCCAACTGGCTAAGGATCTGACTTAAGAACCCAGACACAGGCTCCCTGTCTGGTCCCTGGGGCTCTCTGCAGTCATGAAGATGCGGCCCCACCAGGGCCCCCGAGGTCAGCTGCTCCATTTTAGGGAATCTAACTCCTCTAAGCACAAAATTAGCTTCTTTCCATATATCTGCAGGGGAAAGAACACCACACTAAATATAACCGTGGTCCCGGCCAGGGTCAACAAGCTGGGCCCGAGATAAACAGCGGCCAGCTGGGGCTGTGTTTTCACAGAGCCCAGGGGACACAGCTAAGACCACGGTCCACAAAAGGAAGACCCAGCCTGAGGCAGATTTAAGCTAGTGTGGACACAAGGCAGCTGAGAGCTCAAAGGACGGAACCCTTCATTTCGCTTTCTCCCCGTGAAACCAACCCACAAACATTTCTCATTTCCACCTCTTATTCCCCCATGAGGAAAAGAATAGGGAAAGCATTCTTCATCCTGCCCCAGAGAGGAAATAATTGTGAACATCGTGGTGCATAGAACTTGTGTGTTTTGAAACCAAACAGAATAAAGAATGTTTCTCAAACCTCTCCTTCACATCACCCTCCTAGGCAACCTGTCTGTGGAATCTTTTGATATTATATTTGTAATATCTAAGCTTTTTTGCTTTGTCCCCCTGGAACCAATGTTTGTGCCTTTTGTGGGTAACCTCCCCTCCCTCCCCCCCGTAAGATCTCTGGCTTTAGCTGCATACTGCACCGGGTTCTTTGTGTGCATTTACTTATACATCACCATAATTTCCTTCTGTGGTATATACAAACAAGGCTTTGGCCCCATATTCCAGTTGTAGAAGCCCGAAGCACAGAGAGGTTGAGTACCTGTCCCAAGATCACACAGCAGAGAAAGAACAGACAGAATGAGAACCAACTCCCGGCCAACCTGCCTGCCACCTTCTGTCTTCCCCAGCCTACTGCGCTGCTTTCACAGCCATACCTTCTGTATGTCAAAAGTAGCTCAGTGGCATAAGTGCCTGCCTGGCAATCACAAGGTCCTGAGTTTGATCTCTGGCATTGCAAAAAATCCAGAAGTAAATCAAAGTTCCCCTACTCTACCCCTCCAGCCCCACAAGCAATCCTTTGTATAAGTTTAGAGTGTGCTTGGCCTCCACAGGATTTTTTTTATTTTATTTATATGTGTGTGTGTGTGTGTGTGTGTGTGTGTGTGTGTGGCCAGCTCAGCCCACCAGGGGGCGGGGCTGGCTGGCATGTGGTGCTGGGGGATTGAACCGCGGTCCCTGTGCTTTGTGAAGCTTATTCTAAGTAGGTGCTTTAGACCACTGAGCCATCTCACCAGCCCTCCACAGGATTTTAAGACATCTTTATATATTTAAAAATACAGCGTGTATTAAAAAAAATTTAACTGAAGTATAATCATCTGGTCTTTTTTCCTATTTATGTATTTCTATATAGAATTTTAAAAAAATAGAACCACTGCACATTCTGTGTTTTTATTTTATTTTATTTTATTTTTTTAATGTATCTGGTACAGGATCTCACTATGCAGCTTGGACTCATAGTGATCCTCCTGTTTTTAGCCTCCCCAGCTCTAGGATTGCAGGCGTGCACCACCACACCTGCTCTCACACACCTGGGGACAGGGCCAGTGTGGGCACGGCATGCAGTGCTGGGGATCAAACCCTGGTCCTTGTGCTTGCCTAGGCAGGTGCTTAGTCTGCTGAGCTATCTCACCAGCCCACATACTCTGGTTTTAATCTTGCTTGACTTTAAAGGGTCCCATTGGCTGCTATGTGGCTATAATTTAATGGATGTGCATAGCATAATGAAATTAAGTAGATCGGGATTAATGACTCTTTCAGTGGTTTCCGGCTTCTCACTGCTATGAAGCTGCAGTGAATATTTTTGTAGTACATCATCCTGAGAAGGTGGAATTATAGAGGCAAAGGGCGGAAACACTGTTTCTATGTCTGATGCCATGGGTCCTGTGCTTTCTTGCCACTTCTTGCTATTCCTGGAAGAGCCTGTCCCCTCCACCCCAGAAGCCTGAACCTGCACCCGTGTGGCACAGCAGGCGCTGAGATGCAGCACCAGAACTATTTGTTGTGTGGAAGAAAAGAAGGCAGAGATGTCAAGCTGATAGGCAGCGGCGTCCCAAATATTGGTGGAGGATCTTGTATCAAAGCGGCTAGTTTCAGATGAAGCCCGGGGCTTGACCAGAAAATGTCTCTGTGATGTTAGATGTCTCCTGGCCTACTTATCTGTCCGTTTGGAAAGACTGGGGTGAATGCAGGATTGAAAATAGGGCCTCGCCCACCTAAAACACCAGCTAAGCTTTCCTGCTGGGAGAAATATCCTGCCATGGGAATAGCTGGTGGAGGGGTGGTCGGCAAAGAGCATCGCTTATGCCCCTTGGTGGTCACCGAAATTGTGCTAGGTTGAAGCACCCGGGGACAGACACTCTCACTCACTCCGCCTCCTGGGCCTCCTGGCTGCTCCCATGGGCTCAGGGTCTTTGAGTTGCTTCCTCAGAAGAGGGCTTTCTTGGTCCAGTTGGGCACAGAGCTGTAATGAGAAACATGTAGGTTTCTGTCTCTTTTAAGAAGAGAAGTCCCAGCAGTCTGGGAGGCTGAGGCAGGAGTATTGCAAACTTGAGCCCAGAATAGGCAACTCATCACCTTAGTGTGGTGCTGTTTCAAAATAAAAATTAAAAGGGACAAGGGCAGAGCTTAGTTTGAAGGGCCTGGGTTCAATCACCACTATGACAAAAATGAAAGAATGGGAAGGAAAAGGGAGGGAAGAGGAGAGAAGGGAAAGAAAAAGAAAAGTCCCTGTGGCTGCAGAAAGCTTGTCCTGCTGGGGGACTTGGTCTCCATTCTTGTGTCAGGCTCACAGTTGACGGTGTGGTCCCAGGAAGAAAGAGATCTGCCACAGTAGCTGATGGGGGCTGGCTGCAGCCCCCTCAAGGGTGGCAGGCTGGGGTGACCTGAAAGCAGCACGGGGGGTGGGGGCATGCAGAGGAGGAGACGGGAGAGAGGACGGCAGCAGGAAGGCAGGGGCCAGGCAAGAGTTTCATGAGCCCCTTCATGTGCAGACAGTGGGGAGTCCACCAAGGTGGTAAACAGCCCCCCGCAGGCTGTGTGGATGGCACCCACGGCTGATGCCCTCCACCAAGGTGGTAAACAGCCCCCCGCAGGCTGTGTGGATGGCACCCACGGCTGATGCCCCAGCACCAGGCAATCCTATTGGGCTGTTCCTCACTCTCTTGCAGTTTCCAATGAGCCTGAGGTTTTCCTGCATGCCCTTACATTTCGCTAAAGTTTGCCTCCTGGAAGGAAAGATCTGGTTTCTACTCTGGCATGGAGACAGATGCGTTAGCTTCTTCTGCTGGCGAAGGAGCCCGGGCCTGGGGATGGCTGACACTTCCGAGGCGAGGCCGAGCCGACCAGAGCACCGTGGCTGGCGGCTGCTTCGGACCTCAGTCCTGTCTGCATCTTGTACTATGGATAACCACTAAGAAAATAACAATGTATAGCGTATTAATTATTGAAACTGTCCTATGAATCAGTTTTGAAACTGTATCATTGCTATTTGTTTCTCAATAAAATAAAAAAAAGAGCAGGGCCATTCATTGCGTGCACAAAGGCATCGCAGGCATGGGCTGACTTTCTCTCTGTTCTTCCTGTCTCCTTGCAGGCCTCTCTGCTGCAGCTGTGTGTGTGTGAGATGCTCGAAGTCTGCGTGGAGCCATCCCTTGAGAGTTCAGTGGATGATTTTTTAATGTGGCGCTAGAGATTTTCTTTAGCCCACATAAAGTATTTCTGCTGCTGCTGACGCTGCTGCTGCTGCCTTTTATTTATTTATTTTCTTCCTTTGCCCGGGCTTTGCCCTGCCCCGGTGGACATGATGGCCCACTCCAAAGCCAACGGCTCCCACCACGCACTGACCGCCATCGGCCTGGGCATGCTGGTCCTTGGGGTCATCATGGCCATGTGGAACCTGGTCCCTGGCTTCAGCAGTGCAGAAAAGCCAACAGCTCAGGGGAACAAGACTGAAATAGGCAGCGGTGGTGGTGGCGGCGGCATTCTCAAGAGCAAGACCTTCTCCGTGGCCTACGTGCTGATCGGCGCGGGGGTGATGCTGCTGCTGCTGTCCATCTGCCTGGGCATCCGAGACAAGAGGAAACAGAGACAGAACGAGGAGCTGGCCCGCATCCAGCAGCAGGCTGGGGCTGCGCCTCACGCCCAGGAGGAAGACAGGTGAGGACGCCCAGGGCCAGGCTAGAGGAGTGGCGCACTCTCACTTTTAGGGGCGACCGTATGTGAGCGGAGAAGGCTTGGCCTTCCTGCTCTCTTCCATAAAGGCTATGTAAAATAATTTTCCATTCACAAAGAACAGGATGCTTCTAGACCAAGGTTTAGAAATCACGTGGTACCAATGGATTACAGGGCTATCAAGATTTTGCCAGCACCAGCCAGGGAAACTGAATGGGCCCCAGGTGACCAGGGCCACCTGAGTGGTCACTCGTTCATCTGACCCACGTGCTGTGTATGGTTTAAGTCACAAAGGTCAGGGGCTGGGGAGATGGCTCAGTAGAATAATAAGCACTTGCCTGGCAAGCACAAGCACAAGGGCCTGAGTTCAATCCCCAGTTCTGCCAAAAACAAAATAAGCAAAAGTCAAGAACCAGTACTGCAATGGCCCCACAACACCACAAGATAGGTCACAAATCAAGGACCCTGTGAGGCAGGTTGAGATCTCCAGTTTTGTTTTTTTTTAAAAAAGCCCCTGTGAGCGGCCATGGAGATGAACATGTCAGATAAATAAAGGACACAACTTGCAAGCGAGCATTCAGCTGTTGAAATGAGCTGCCCAACCTCATTAGTCAAGAAATGCAAATAAAGATTTCTTCTTTTGAGCCTATCCTGTCAGCCAAGATGCAACCTAGATATGCACTGATGGAGTGAAACCGTGAACTACCCACTCAGTGGGCCCCCAGCCACGGCACGCCCAAGCTTTTCAATGGGGACCTTGTCCCAGCCCCGAGAAACACAGTGGTCACCCAGGGTCTCTGACGAGGGCATCTGACATCTCCTGGGGTGGCTTGGGCTCCAGAGAGCTGGGGGACATGTGCACCCAGATATTCACTGTGCTTCTCTCCAGATGGAAGTTAATGATGTTTTTCTTTTCTCCACTGGATTTTTCTGTTTACATTTTCTACAAGTAGTTCTTATCTTTAAAGCAGGAGGGGAGCTGTTTTTGTGTAGGAAAACTTAAACTGCCTCAGGGTTTTCTGGAGAAACAGAATCTGGGGGGTGGATATAGAGCCATGTGTTGCTAGGGACCAAGAGACCATCTGAGCCACCCGTAGCTGGGCAGTGTGGTCCTGTGAACACCCCACAGCTTGCTTCTGTCAACTAAGAACCACTTTGTCACTAGGTGGAACAGCCTAGGGGATCGTTCTGAGCACCGGGGAGGGAGATACTAAATCCCCATCTGAGGAAGAAGCTTAAGGAGATGGCCCAGAGCTACTGTGAGGCAGAAGCAGATGGGTGCTCTTCCCCCCACCTCCATGCAGGCTCTCCGCAGCTGGCCGTGGGTCCACATGCCCTTTACTGAATCTGCCTATTTAATGCCTACCTCTAGTGGAGAGACCACTCAGACACACCCAGGAATATAGTTTAATCTGGGTGTCTCCTAGCCAGGCATGTACAGCTATCATGTATCACCCCACAAGCTATTTTAGAAAGCTTGGGAGACACAAACAAGAGCAAGGGAGGGGAATCAGTCACCTGTAACTCCCCACCCCCACCACAAGCACCTCCGATCCCTTTGCAATGGGGTACAAGGAGACTGAGGCCAGCAGGGAGGGATCTGAGGTTGGTGCAGATCCCCCTGCAGGTCCTGGAGGGGAGCTTTTCCACCTTGTGCGTAAAGGCATCCTGAGATTTGCATTTCAACACTTCCATGAGAGTGAGGCTGATGATCTTTTTGAGTCTTAGGATGAACTTGAAAGAAAAGTTTGCACCATGATTTGAGATGTACACGAAGATTATGGTTCACATATGTGAAGTGATTAAGAGTATGGTGATGTTTACCTTCTTTAAAAATGTGTCACAGTAAAAGGTTCATCACCTCTAATCCCCACAGACACATCTCAGACACACGCGTCCCATCGGTCCTGCCACTGTCTGAGGCAGCTCTGCATTCTCCTTTCGTGAGTGTCTTTACTTGTGCTGATATGGCTGCCTCAGAATCCTGAATCCATTGAAAGCATTTACCATTGTGGTCCTTTTGGCTTTGAGGGGGAGCCAGAAATTACACAGTACCAAACCCAATGAAAAAGGTAGATGGGGAGATGCTGTAATTTTTAAAAATCATTTATTTATTTATTTATTTATTTATTTATTTATTTATTTGGTACAGGGTCTTACTACACAGCTGAGACTCATAATGATCCTCCTGTCTCAGCCTCCCCAGAGCTGGAGTTACAGGCGTGCGCCACCACACTCAGTCTTGATGGCTGGCTCAGAGCACCCAGGGTCGGGGCTGTAGTGGCATGTGGTACAAGGGGTGAACCCCGGTCCTGGGCTTGCCAGGCAGGCACTTAGGCCACCCAGCTATCTCCCCAGCCCTATAATGTTTTTATTCAACAGAAGCTGTAGTGAGGAGCCTGGGAAATAGCTCAGTAGAATAAGCGCTTCCCTGGCCAGTGCAAGGGCCTGAGTTCAATCCCTGGTTTAGCCAAAAAAAAAAAGGAAAGAAAGAAAGAAGCTGTAGTGAATGTTTTTAATCAATTCAAGACATGGAAGAAACCACCAAAAGACACTCATGAAAGATTTCCAAAACTTCTTAAGTGGCAAGATTAATGGGATAAGTGTTTCAAGTTGGAGGAATATTTTGCAGGAGATGAACAGTGATATTTCTTTTACTGAAATAACTTTTTATTTCAGTTTAAACATGGACCATACTTTTTTTTACTACATTTTATATTCCTTCTCTACCTGGGGACAGTGCTTGGCTTGCACTGGCAGACATATCCTAGAATTTTCCATGGCCTTAGACCACAAGCCCTACCTGGGCATTAGAGTAACGAGGCCCCCGTGACGTGTAGTGACACAGAAAGGTCTTGAGGCAAAGGAGGTTTCATACCCATGTAAAAGCGCAGAGTGGGTGGAGTGCTGCCTTCACTTTCCGCCTTCCCCTTTCCTAAAAGTATGCCGCGTCACTCAACCTTGATGTCCATTTCCCCGTCCATAAAGCGAGTAGGAGAACAGCACTTAGTTCGTGACGCTGAGTGTGTGGGACCCGTGCCTGTGCCTGAGTGTACCTAGAACAGTGCCCGGCCCACCCTCATGACGGCTGCCACACTGCCTTTCTTTATGCCTTGGACCCACTTGGGCTTCAATGGCGAGTGCAGGCTCAGTGTTCCCATGGGATCTCAAGTTCTCCTCTTTGGGATTGTCTTCTTTTCACAGTACTGGGGATTGAACCCAGGGCTCCCATACTGAGCGGCTGAGCTTAGCCCTGGGTTCCCTCTGCCTCAGACTCCCAGTGTGGCCTTCAGGACCTTAACTTCCTCGAGTGCGTGATCACACTGTGTGTCTTTATTTGCAGCCAGGAGGAGGAGGAGGAAGAGGCCTCTTCCAGGTACTACGTGCCCAGCTACGAAGAAGTCATGAACACAAACTACTCAGAAGCCAGGGAGCCGGAGCCGAACCCCAGGCTGAGCGTGTCTCTCCCATCCTACGAGTCCCTCACAGGCCTTGACCAAACGATGCCCACCAGGGCCGAGGTGGAGCCGGGCCCCGCAAACACCCCCAACAGACAGAACTCCAAGTTAGCCAAGCGCCTGAAGCCGCTGAAGGTTCGCAGGATCAAGTCCGAGAAGCTGCACCTCAAAGACTTTAGGATCAACCTCCCGGACAAAAATGTGCCCCCCGTCTCTATAGAGCCGCTGACCCCTCCGCCACAGTATGACGAGGTGCAGGAGAAGGCCCCCGACGCCCGGCCCCCCGACTGATGGCCGCTCTCGGGGCGTTCCCTCTTCCTCCTGCCTCTCACATCCACACTGCAGATTGTGGCAAAGCTACACGGGGCCCGGCGGAGTCACAGAGGGGCAGTACGCACCTGGCCTTTGGGTTGGGGGACTCTGCGATCAATCGGACAGGACCGAGGATTGGCCCAGGTCCACCGCGGCAGGGGCAGCCGAAGGGGGACTGTGTGGATGTTGTCCGGAGTGCAGCATAGACTTCTTCCTGTCTTCCTTCCCTGAGGCCACACGCTCCTCTCCTGAGCTAGGAAAGGATGCCTCGCAGCGTGGTTAGATGGTGGCTGTTGTCTTTTGCTTCTGTTATGACCGTTTTGTTCCTAGAAGAAAACAAGTCATGCATTTCACCCCTTCCCCGAATCCCAAGGTGGGGACAGAGGGAGAACCTGGCTCAGCTTTGCTCCCAGGCTCCAGGGCCACCTGGTGCAGGAAGCCATGAGTGGTGGAGCGGAGCCGGTGGCAGCTCTCGGGGTCCCCAGTGCTGTCGGTTCTTTGAGGGCGGGGGCCTCGGGTCTGATGCACTTGAGCACGTGATGCGTGTGATAATAGCCACCCTGGTACCATTTTCCAGTTGTACCTTCTGTCTATCAGCAAAGCAGGACACTATAGCCACTTTCTTCCCCCTGAGATGTCGTGGGACTGAGCTTTTTATAATAAAATATTTTATATGTAACACACTCGGTGGTGGAGTCCCTTTAGAAGTCCTTCCTATGCTGTCTTGCTCGGGGGACAGTAGCAGCACTAGCAGCTGACTGAGCCCAACAGGTACAGAGTGCTTGGTACGGGGTTGGTGTACACCGATGCTACCCCGTGTCCTCGGTACCCAAGCCTGGTCTTGGGCTGGCTCACCGAGACTTGGGGGACATTTTGCACGTGGCAGTGAATCGACTTCAGTGCATGGGTCTGGCCTAGGCATGAAGTCACACTCTTCTGTGTAGCTCCCTGCAGAGTACATTTCTGGGCAGGCTTTGCCCTGGAGCTGCGCATCCCAAGAACCCGTGTGTAGCTTGAAAGCTCTACTTGCCCCACCCTTCCACGGGTACCTTCCCACATCCTTTCCTGAGAGCTGGCCAGGCAGGGCACTCAGCGCAGGCTGTTGTCTGTCCCCAGCTCCCACAGTGACCTCCTTGGGGGGCAGGGGGCAGTGACAGCTGAGTGGTACAGGGAGAGAAGTGTCTCAGGGAGCAGAGACAGCTGGGACCACGGACACTGGTGGGTGGGACGGAGGAAGAGCGTGAGGCCTTGGCTTTGCAGGGACCCTGAGTTCACAGGATGCCTTCCTAGTGGTGGCAGGCATGGAATGAACTGTGGAGCCATCCCTGTCGGGGTGCCTGGGTGGAAGAGAAAATTCTCAGGCTCTGGAGGGCTCCTATCAAGCTCCCCACAGTCAGGAGGTGAATTTTCTTCTTAAGGGAAAGGGCAGGGACATCTGGTCTCCAGCTTTCCATATGCAAATGCATAATAAAAGAAGGAGCTGTAGGGGTGTGCTGGGGCATAGACACCACCTGTGGCTCCTGTCCCCAGCTAGGCATCCCCTCCATTACTCTCCCTGCTTCTTCCTGACTGTTGGACAAATGGGAAGCAAAAGAAAAGAGGTGAACAGAAAGGTCCCAGGAGAGCTGAGAGGCTGGGTACTAGCAGGCTGTCCCTCTGGCTTTGGTAGACACCTTGTTGTGCATCTGCCCTGCCCAGAGCCTCACTGGGGAAGGAAAAGCTTGTGAACGGATGGTGGCACCTAAGGGGCAGGAGACCCTGATCTCCGGAACATGGAGCGCTCGCCCCGTACGGAAAGGTTTTTGCGGATGTGGTTAGATTCAGGATTTGAGAAGAGATTATCTGGGCTATCTACATGGGTTCTAACTGCCAACCACAAGCATCCTTGCAAGTGAGAGACAGGAAGATGATACACAGAAGAGGGGAAACAGCATGACCCTAGGGAGAAGGGGGAGATGCTGGGAGCCCCAGAAGTGGGAGGAGGGAAGGGAGAAGTTCTACCCTCAGGCCCCCAGAGGGCATACAGTCTGTCAGCGACTTGGTTTCGCCCAGGTGATGCTGCTTTTGGACATCTTGCCTCCGGAGCTGTGAGAGAATGTGGTTCAGTGATCTCAGGAGCCATTTTCGTGATGATTTCTAGCATCCCAGTTATAAAGACCAATATCAGCACTTAGTAAGCCCTGCGCATTTCAGCATTAGTGCAAAGTGCTTAGGTGATAACCGATAGGAAGCCACCATCCTGTGCTACACCCAATACACAGGTGAGGAGACTGAGGCAGGCCCAGAGACGCCCACCACAGAGAATCACCTTATCCCTAAACCAATGATGCCATGATGGAGAAACCCTGCCCTGGACGAAGGGAGCCCATTCTCTTGGGCAGAGGGACCTCGGTCCTAGAGTTGGGCCACACAGGGTCATCTCCATCAGTGACAAGCAGAGAGCTGTCCCAGGCTGAGTGTGTTACTTAGCTTTTTTTGTTTTGCGGAACCGGGGATTGAACTCAGACCCTTGTGCTTGCCAGGCAAGCGCTTATTCCACTGAGACATCTCCCCAGCCCCAGCATTTTTTAAATGCTACTTTTAGAAAAACTGTTTTCCTGACTCTTCTGCGTGCGGGGCCCAAATTAAAAATCTAATTCTCCGTGGCATGACATAAGATGATTTTCCTTCCTGTTCTCCATTTGCTGCCAACCTAGATTTAATGGAATTTTAATAAACTAAAATAACCTGAAATTTATTAACTGTGCTATTAGGGGTATGGGAAAGATAAAGTTGGTACTCCTTGAAACCTAAATAGATCCTGAGAAATTTTAGATTATTTAAAAGCACATTGGGAACCAATGAAGGGTATATAGCAAAATAAAATAACTAAAATACAATTCTGGAAGCAAGAGTTACGGCCTGTTCTTCTTCCCTGGGTTATTAATCTCAGGGAGAGAAAAAAAAAAAAGCCAAATAGTACAGCATGGTTCCATGAGATCAAGTGAGCTCAGCACTATAGAAAATTTAGAAATTGTGCCGGAATATTTAAAGACCGAATGCTGTTCTTTGTATTTACCCTTGAAATATCATATTTCAGAATTTATCTCTGATGATCATGCCCAGTCCAGAAAAATCATTAGCATCTACTTTAAGAAAATACCGAGAAGAGAAAAATAAGGTAATAATGTCTTTTAAGACTTTTACTTTTGGGATATAATCTGACAGCCCATACGGGCTCATAAGGGAAACTGTAAATGCTTGACAAGGACTTGTCCATAAATGTACCTGCTCTAGCAAATGTGCTGGCTCTTTCAAAGTTAAAGTAGAAAAAAGGAGAGGGGTCCATTTTTCTTTTTATTTCTGACAAATTCAATGTCTGTTTTAAACTCAGTTTCAGACCCCGAAATGTAATTCCGTGGTAAAACACTTTCCTAGTATGCATGAGGTGCTCAATCCAATCCCCAGCACCAGAAGAAAAAAAAAAAAAAAAATCAAATTCAAATTACTAATTCCTATACTGACTTTTCAAATAGGAAAGGACAAGTCACGCTGACATTTGCCAATAGTAAATTCATTTTTACACCAACTGAATTCTTTGAAATCAGCACAAATGCAGCGGAGAGAAAGACAAAGACAGGTACATCTTACAGAAGTTAGAGGCAGACTAAGACAGTCTTTTTAATGACTGAAAAGCAGTGTGAGGTCTATTGAAAGCATCCATTCGATCCAGCAGAATGGCGTCAAAGGATCAGATTGAAAAAGCTTAAGGTTAGATTTTAATATTTGTTTTCTGGATTAAAAAGCCAGAATGTATTTTTGGGATTAAAATAAACCAGGGTTTTATTTTAAAATTTTTTCCATTGGTTAAAAGCAGTAAAAGATGGCTCATTAATCTTCCCTCAGGCCAATAATAGACGTGTCTCATGAGGGGGAGAAAGAGCCAGGAATAAGGCCCAGGGTAGCCAAGAAGATCGGGCACTTAAGTTCTGTGCGTGGGGTTCTGCTATCCGGGTAATCGAGCTCCTATGTGTATGTATCTGTGGGCCTCTTTCCACTGAGCAGAAAACTGAACTAACCAGAGTACGATTTTGTCAAGTCAGAGTTTCTCAGCCTTGGCATACTGGGGACTGGGTACCGCTGATGTTAGGCCAAAGACAGGGTGGCAGGGCTGGCTATGCTGCACATAGGGGTTGGCGGCCCCCCAGCTCTACTCTCTGCACCTTGGGGCACCTCCCAAATGCGGTGTTAGGGTTTGGATCATGGGCCCCAAAACCCGCATGTTGAAGATGTCACTGTGAACCTGTGGAGAGATGGGGAGGCAGCGGAGCATTTAGGAGTTGGTTGCATTGGGAGGACATTAGATGGTCGAGAGCAAGCCCTTGGTGAGGATTCTATGGTCCCATCTCATTGTCCCTCCCCTCCTCTCTCCTGGCCATCATGAGAAAAGCAGCCTCCTCTGTCACTTACTTCCGGCCATCATGTCTTGCCTCGCAGACCCTAGGTGAAATCGTGAGCCAAGTCAGTTTTCTTCCTTCTAAACTGATTCAGCTCAGGTAATTTGCCACAGTGACAGAAATGTGACTAACAGTGTGATGATCAAGCATGTCTCCAGACATGGTTGGAAGTCCCTGGGGAACAGAATTCTCCCAGTTGAGAACTACAGCTTATTTAATCTAAGAAATTTTTTCTGTATGGAAAAAATGTTGTCACCTGAGTGGAAATGTCCGAGTTTGTTAAAATATACTGACCAGCTTCTGGGTCACAAGACTTGGTGTAAATGAGTAAACTGTATGTGAAAAGGCTGCAGAAAATAGAATTTTTAGCAGGACTGTTTTTGTAGTTCATCTTGTCCCGCTGCCTTGTATAGGGAAGGAAAGCTGAGAGAGAGATGTTTGCCTAAGGACCACACCAGTGCTGCACAAATATCAAAGGTTCTAGCTAAATATGGAATCATTCACATCTGGGAAAACAAAGGCCACAGGAGCCACCCTCTCTGGACCCCTGAGATGAGGCCATGTGAGCATCAAATCAAACACAGGCTTCAGTGGACGGAAACACACCGACGTTTATTTATTTATTTATTTATTTATTTATTTATTTGGTACAGGGTCTCACTGTGCAGCTCAGATTCATAGTGATCCTCCTGTCTCAGCCTCTCCAGCACTTGGATTACAGACGCGCATCGCTACGCCTGGTTTCAGTGGCCGGCGTGGCATGCCCAGGGTGGGGCCAGCATGGCATGCGGTACCAGGGATGGAACCAAGGTTCTTGTGCTTGTCAGGCAGGTACTTAGGATCTCCCAGCCCCACATCAACATATTTAATCACTATTCCTAACGATGTTTTTAAATGCATTAGCCATCTTTTATTCTTGCTCGTCACTCTGAATAGTAGCACCTACAGGGAAAGAATCTACCACTGAGTCTGCTTTTCCTAAACAAACTGTATGTTAGGATTCCACTTATACAAGGTACCACCAGAAGTCAAATTCATACACACAGAAAGTAGAGTGATAAATGCCAGTGACTGGGAAGTAGGAGAAATGGAAAGTTTATGTTTCATGGTATAGAATTTTAGTTTGTAAGTTGAAAGGTTTTTTGTTTTTTTGTTTTTGTTTTTTTTTGTGGTACCAGGTGCTGAACTCAGGCCCTTGTACTTGCCAGGCAAGCATTTACTCTACTGAGCTATCTCCCCAGCCCCAG